CTGTAATTGTTGCATAATGAAGTTAGCGACGGAGTTCAAGAGCTATGATTCATTCAGGCCAAAAACCATGAGTCAGCCCCCAAAGAATCATGAGATGTTAAAATTATATACATTGAATTGGAGCTTGACAAACACGCAGGAGCGCTCCATGAGCGCAGGGTTTCTGCAGCGCTCCACACGCCCAGCAAACATCCCCGCTCCTCCTCGGACCGGCCGCGGGGCCAAGGCAGCAGGTCAGGCCATCCTTGCAAATCATTTACACAGCTCAGGTTATCAGCCCGGCTTCCAAGGGGGCACCTGATGCTCATTCACACCAGGTGCTCAACTCGACTGCTTGCTTGTTGGGGATGAGGTCCCATCCAGCCCAACAAGAGGTCCTGGCCCAGCGTTTTTGGGGACCTGAGGGGAGGTGGGTGCTCCAGACTYCTGCTCCAACACAAACACTGGGGCCATGTCAGGGGAGGGCAAAACAGAGTCTAACTGGGGGCACTCAGGGTTTCCAAGGCAAAGCACGGAGCTGGGGGTGAAAAAACAGYGTAGGTCTCTGCAGGGAAAAGAGCAAGACACAGGGCCAAGCTGAAAAGCACCCGCAAGCCACAGAGGTGCTGATTGGCAGGAGAAAACTACCAAAAAAATAAGGTTTTTCTGACCTCCATCGGGTGATCAGTTTTATACCATGCCCTCCGTTCTGTGCGTACAGACCTTGCATCTGTGGCAAGAAAAGTTATTCCGAAATGAGAGGGGTGTGAATTCAAAGCAGAACAACTATTCTGGGTTAACTCCCCAGGTGGCTTCTTAGTCTTGGAGTGACAGTACCTTTTTCTAGTTTAATTCACTTCAAAAATAGACTAGGCCAACGGTTCCGATCTGCAAGGCCATGGTATCTGGCCTGCCACTTTTAGCGTATCTTTAATTAGATCTCGGGCCTGAGGACATAGTGGTCTCTGGGATACAGACTTGACAGCCCAAATCCAGAAACAGGATCTCAACCTAAACCAGGAGGCAAAAAGCAGCAGCAGCAGCAAGGCCAGCTGCAAGAGGGTCTGCACATCTACCTGCTCTACAGGAGCTGCTGCCCCAAAGCTATTCCTGTTGCTGACACACACAGACCAGCCCCTGCTTCTCCTGGAGAAACACAGCAATAGCCCATGCARCCCTCCAAGAGCTCTAAAGCAAACAGCAGCACATTAAACCTGCAACACGTACCTTGMACGGAAGCTAAAACCTCCCCGTGAAAGCCATTTCTGTTTGAGGTTTATTTGAATCTGCCACTTATTAAGCTTCTCTTTGGCCTCATTAATCACAGCCCTATCAAGCGCTTACGAACGCAAACAGAGAAACGCACCCGACAACTGCACTTGTTCTGTCCTGCTGCTACTGGAATCAGGGAAAGTTATGAGGCAGTAAGGCCAAGCCACCTTCCTGGTGCTTTTCAACCAGCTCCCCTGAGATGAAGTCAGCCACGTATTCTGGGGAAAAAAAAGGGAAGAAAGAAAAAAAGAAGAAAAAAAATCATCATTTTCCCTGCCAACTAGCAATACTCAAGAGCAGCCCGTAACAAGGAGCTGTGCAAGAGGAAGAGCATCGTAATGAAGGCAGAAGCCCCTCACCTGCCTCGCAGCATCGCTGGTACCCGCATCACGGCTTGGGTGCTGCTCTAGAGGCAGGGGTGGCCAAGGCCCCTTTGCCAAAGGCTCCGTGTGCCAGATCCAACCTGTCCCTCCTGAGCTGGGAATCRCATCCACGTCAAACCACACCACGTTTGTTCCGTTCGTAGCTTAGCGGTGCTAGAACTACTCTTTTTTTTCCTTCTGGTTGCTCCTATGGCTCTGCTGACCACAGTAACCCCAAGTATTCCTAAGACTTGCGAGCAGAAGGTCCATCAGGAAGAAACRCCTTGCTCGGAGAGCAGCGTTTGCCCCAGCTACAGCAGTGTTGAGGGCTGCTGCACAATCCAGCCTCCCGCGTCCGGCTGCTTCCACCTCCCGCAGCRACAGACCGGCCGCGAACGTCACGGCAGGGCCAGCGGCCACACGGTGACAGGACGGGGCCACCAGCGACAAACACAACCTCAGGTCACCTCTGCCATCAACAAGCTCTCACTGATGAATATCTCCAGTTCTGCCAGGAAACTTGGGCTCCAGAGTTCACTTCTCTCCATTCTCTCCCCAACTTTGCCAGTCCTTCCTGCAGCCTTTGCTCTTTACTCAATTCTTGGAGGCCAATTTCCACCCATGCCCACACACACCTCTACCCCATCCAGCACAGGCCCTGCTCTCATTTCCAGAGCATCGCTTTATAAAAAATATGTATCTCTCTCTGTGTAAATACATATTGAAAAGAAAAATCCTGCTGGGCAGCAGGCGGTGACCACGTACAGCGACAGGGCAGGGACAGCGCGCGACGCTGTCCAGATCAATGAGCGCAGCAGCACGTGGGCCGCGGGGCAAGACGGACACGTGGATTAATCGAAGACGACAGATTTCTAGTAAGATTGCGATAAGCCTCTTTAAACATCCCGAAGGGATGAGCCAGCTGGCAAGGCCGTCCCGGGAGGAGGTGCAACTCGACTCACGGCCTCGCAGAAGCTGCCGCCCCCTTTCACACGTCCCGGCGCTCCCGCGGCTCTGAGGGATGCCTGGATGCTTCTCCACCTGCGCTCRCTCACAGCCCTCTATTACAGCCTGTCCAGCACGCAAGGAACCAGCCTCAAACTGCTCTCACTAAGCAAATGAGAGCCGAGGTCAGGCAGTCCACGAGTACCAGCAGAACCAGCTGTCCCCTCTTCCAGTGCAGCCACCAGCTTGGTCCTTCTGGCAGCAGGTCCCCCTGCTGCCATCCTCATCCCATCAGCATCAGCAGGGACTCAGCAGAGGTGCTGGGGAAGCCCTGGGCTTCCCTGCACAGCTCCTGCACCCCTGGGACTCCCAGGCCCTGCGAGGAAGAGGAGGGGAGGACCAAGTGAGCCCAAGACATGAAGATGTCCCTGCTTTGCTGAGTGGCAGCAAGGAAACTCCTGAAGATGAGCAGGGTACCACACATGTGCTCTGGACACATGAACAGCAGCAGCAGGCACAATAATGGGGAGAATTCATCCAATTTCCAGTGTTACGATAAAAGTCTAGAAGTATCTGACACAAAGCAAACATTACCTGGGGCTGCAAAGGTTTCCCAAGTGACGAATAACGGCAGCAAGTTTGCTTGGTATCAGGCAAGGTTTTCTTTCTGAGCACTTAGGCCAATTAGCTAGTGATATAATTTGCCAGCTGAGGTCACAGAATCATCATTTAGCTGTTCCAAATGAGACAAGATGAACTACAGGGCAATTTCCATCCTCCAGCTCAATGAGTGATTCAAAATAGTGGTTCTTAAGTATCTGGCAAAGAATTTGGCCTACTGGATTTGACAGGATCATTTTTTTCCCTCCCCCAAAAAAGAGACTGACCTCTTTTAAACCCAGGAAGTTAATTTTGTACAGCTATAGGACCTAATTTTATTATTTTAACCTTGTTTCACAATCATTTAAAAAAATGAACAGCTTCCAAACTGAAGTCAAACATAAATAAAGGCAAAAAAAAGGAGAATCAGACCCAACRTTGGTTTAAGGAAGGCCACAGTCCAAACCCCACTCCATCACAAGAGCACAAGCTATATTTGTAAGGATGGAGATAACAGAAGGAGTAATGTCTCCAGAAGCCCTTTAGCACAAACCCTATATTTTCACGGGTTTATATAAGATCAAAACGAGACATCCCCTCATTCACAAAGGCTTCGTTATTTGTTAACCTCCCTCCCTGCAACCAGTATTCCTGCAAACACCGGTTGATGTTTTTCTGCTCTGGATGAAACGTGCCCAGAGGCGATAGGCACTTTATAAATTATTAAACCGAGTAAAAATAACGTTCCAACAAAGTGGCCTCAGCAGCGACACAGGCGCCGGGGAGCTGGTACCGGCGGTACCAGCCCGGTCACACAGAGCYGCTTCTCCAGCACCCAAGCGCTGGACAACGCGACATTGTTAGAGACGAGCAATCTGGCCAYGCAGTCTTGATAGGAGAGAGAAAAAACACACAGCAGCATCTCAGTATTCCATCATACACATGTAAAGTTCTACAGAATAAGGTTAAGAACCTTATTTTTGTTAGGAAATACTCGTTTGTGTCTTTCAGTTTGAAGAAAGGCAAGTTTTTTTCCCCAAAAGAGATCTCAGGACCTGCTACCAACCTCTTAAAAATGAGCCAGTAAGAGAATTTACAACATCATTCACAATTTCTGATCAACTCCCTCCTACAGAGCGTAAGCAAGGGGAAAGTGTAAATAAAAGGTATTCTTTGCATTCTGGATTTAATAAATCAAGTCTTTTGCAATGCACACGATCTCCCTGCAGATTAAACTCTGCTGCAGCCTGAAAGAGTCGCTGGGTTTTCAGCTCTTCCATGTGGGGAAAAGCCCTTGGTGTTAAGGACAGGGCTCAGGCCACCTGTGCTCACGGTCAAGGCAGCAGCGAGGGTGGCCGAGCTCGGACACACCAGAGGCTCSTCGGGAACGCGGGAACGCTCCAAGGGAAGGGCCTTGTCGGGCCACCAAACTTGGGGCTTTCCTCGGCAGTTTGTGGGGGGGATGAGAAGTTTCACGGCTCTGTAGTTTGGGGCATCCTCCTCCTCCTCTTCGTGCAGGGCTCTCAGGTGCAAAGGACTTTCTGCACAGGGAACTGATGCTAAAAAGCATGAACTTCTTTTCTTGCCAGCTGCCAAAAACCCTCCCGAACGCCGCCCAGAGCTGAAGGGATCGGCCAAGGCGGCCTTCTCTGCATGTGTCTGAAGGAGACTCTCTCCATGAAAGACCTTCACCATCTCCCAGGGAAAGCCCACACGTCCTGGTGGCATCCCAGGAATTACGAACCAAAAACCCATGGCCTTACTAATGGCTCCACTAATTTTCCCCCCTACACGTGAACGATGCCAAAAAGGAAAGAATTTTAAGTGCAATAAGCAAAACACCTCCGGGGACAAATGCAAAACGCTCCGGTCTCGGGTTTCTCGGGGGCTGCGCGACTGTCGCCTGCAGAAACGCGGCAGATGTGCCCGCGAGCACGCGAGCCGACCCGCCGCGGAGCAAACTGCCTTAGCGGAGCCCTCGCAGCGCCGCTGCTGGGTGCGCTCCGCGGAGCTCGGACAGCCGCGGCGCGGGGCGAGCCGGGCGCCGCATCCCGCCCGAGCGCGGACCCGCGCGCGGCAGYGAACCGGGGGCGCGCGGAGTTCCCCAACTCCGCCCGTGACTGCGGCGGGGCCGGGGGCCGCTCCGCTCCGCTCCGCGCGCGAGGGCACCCGGCGGGGCCGCGCGCGGACCCCGCTGCAAACCGGGGGGAACCCGCCCC